TATATATTGTGTATGGCTTGGTCCCCAGTGTCTTATTATAGATTTTGGCCAAAAATCTCCGCCTTGGTGTGGTTCATTATTGCCCCATAGTTGATATTTATGCAGTGCTCTCAGCTATTCGGCCATGTTTATTCAGTAGAATGCCACAATCCTTTAGCCACTTTGCCCAGATTCATACAGTACAGACTATGGCGCTCTATATAGAGATATAATATATATGCGGGGTATAAGTATGTCAGTCTCTTGCTTCCCAGACGACCGTCGTTCTGTGACGTAAGAAGAAAGCAAAACTTTGGCCAGCTTTTGGGCTGCTGCCGCTGCTGGTGGTGCTGCTGTCGTCAAACTGGCTGAATGAGCCACCATCACGCACACTCTCACCCAGACAATTGGCCTGCTCAATGGCCGCGTGGAGCCCCCCCTTTTAACGCCCCTCGTCCTGGGCTTACGCTAATGTAAATATTTTCCCCTCCAGCCTCGTCGTGTGCCACAATTATATATGCAGGCCCCCATACCAAAACAAGAGGAGAGGAGTAGGAGGTTCTATGGGGTCTAAATGCCTCGTCTATAAGCTGTAAAATCCTACTGACTAACAGACGAACTGACTCACTGACAAACCGGCAAACTGACTGACTGGATGCTGACGATGATGTCACTGTTTATTGATTCATCTACTGACTGGCCAGCCTCGCTGTCCACTTTCAGCACGTTTCTGTTTATTTTTGGCCAGTGCATTAAGTCAAAAGGCTAATTTGCCGGGCCGAAACGGTCTCGTCCCGAAACTGTGTCCACCTCATTAACAAATTCAGTGTGTGGGCGTGACTGGGGCGTTATTGCTTCCAGTTCATTTGGCCGCCTGCAAATGCAAATGGCCTGGTTTGCCTCCTAATTAGCCATGGGCCAGGTTCTGTAGACTTTAAGGCCCAACAACGCAGGATCATTCAATAAATAGGAAAGGGAAATGTGGCAGCGAGAATATTTTAGGCGCCTTTAGAAAATGTCAAAAGTGTGCCTTGTAAAAAGTACAAAAAAAATCTCTGTAGGTCAAAGGGCAAGCTGCGTACGCAATAGGATATATACCAAAAATAAAAGACAAAAATCCCCACATTTTAATAAGAACTTTGACGTATATAAAGTAGATGGATTTGTCGTTTAAAATATGTTTATATTAATAGAACATTTCCTATCTTGACTAAACTAATCCTGCAAATATTACATTCTATAGAAAAATCTTTACCCAACATAAAAAAAAAGTAAAGTGTAAAGAGGGTTAAGGATCTCTAGGACAACCAATCTGTCTGCGAAAACCGCTGGTAGCCCAATTTGTCTGATCTGTCGGTGCTCCTGAAGTCTCCTGGAAATCGGCCATTTGCATATCTATGCCCGATTATGGTGGCAGACGGCTACCAATTGTGGAAGGAGTAGGAGATTGTGGAACCCACAAGTTGCGGCAGACAACCTGTCGCTGTGGTGAAAATTTTCCATCCGCTCGACTGCAGCCGCAACACGCACACATCTATGCGGGTGGAAAAATGGGAAAAGGTCGAGGGCGGCGGCCACTGACAGATAGACAGACTGATAGACGCATCTCCAATATCCATTTCCAACTAATTTGCGTAATATTTGACAGGAGCAGCAAGGAGGAGTAGCGGGCAACGACGGCAATAAGAAGACATCGATGAGGAAGGTCCGGAGTCCACAAATCGATGATCTTTTTGCCGCCAAGTGGCCACTTGAGGACCGAGCGGTCCTCAAATTACAAATTAAATCAACCGCCAGGGTATATGAAAATGTTGGCTTTGAGTGTGAAGGAAGGAAAACTAAAGGCGTGCGCATAGACACTGAGGAGCAAAGCCACACGCATACATAAGCACACACGCACAAGATATGGGCGTGGGAGCAAGGACTTGTCAAACGGAGGCGTCCTGTCCGGTCGCCTCGGACCCCCGGGGTATTGTTACTAAATTAGCTGGAAACCGGACCAGCAGGATCGTAAATTGTGAACGCGTTTTAATGATGTCAAGTTGTAAACGCAGCCGCAGGTTTCCCGGGAAAATTTGTGTTACGGTTTTTTTTTCCATTATTTTTTTTTCGGGAGCGTTTCCCTCATTTCACTTCTGTTTTTGGCACAGGAGTGAACTCTTTTTTGGTCGTTAGGGACTAGCAGGACTTTATGATGTACATAGAACAAATTGTTAGTTATGAAACTTTTCTAAAAGTTGGAATGTTACAACGGCGAAATTTAAGTTACTTTAAACATACTTTTTGGCTTTATAACAATATTTACGATTTTTATTAATCTCCGGATAATGGTAGCTAGTTAAGAATGAAAATCAATGACTGATATCTGCAATATACTTAGGGTTTATCTAGTACTTAAACCTCTACTACTACTTTATAAGATTTACTTAGCTAATCAAATACAACAAAAACTCAATTTAATTTATAAAAATATGTTTTTGCTATTTATTTTCTATAAGTGAAAGTTAATGAAGTCCCAGATCACACACACATTATCCTTTGCTACCGTTTTCTGTTATTTTTTTTTTGGTTTTTGGCCACATGTGTGCGGCTCTCACGGCGCTGTCCTTATCCGTATAATCGTTTTCCACTGTAAACACTTAGGGGTACAATTGTAATTTTCCCAAATACCCAACGACTACCAGGGAAAGTGTGAAGTGGGTAGCGGCGGGTGGCAAGCGTTGACGTTTTCACAGCTGACACTTGATGACGTTATGCGGAAATAAACAAACACACACACACACACATATACGCACACGGAAATGTGGGAAAAGCGGAGCTGCTGGCAAGGAAAAATACGAAATAAGAAAACTGCGAGAGTGAGTGGGAAAGGGAAAGCCAGCGACAGACATAACAATGAGGAAAATTGTGCAAACAAGCGCATAAAATGAAAACTCATTGATTGTCTCATATTGAATTTTCGCTACATCTCTCAATCTGCGAAAAACCTTGCCAAATCAATTGTTCAGCGATGGGAAAATCCAAAAGTGGAAAGTGGAAAGCAGCTTCCTGGCTGAACACAATAAACTAATCCAATTTAATTTAATTGGCTAATATGTTTCCAGGAAATATCCTCACTTTTCTATCACTTAGAGTTTAGCCCCTTGTGTATATGAAAGAAAATTGAAAATAACTTTAATTTGTCAAGGAGATAAAAACAAAGAACTTTGCAAGGAAAAGTTATCTAAGTAGCATTATAGTTTAAGTTAATAGTTATATAAACATTTAACAATGGAAAGAAAAACTAAAACAGAACAAATAAAAGACCAAAACTATATCAAACTCAACTTAATTAACAGTTTACAAATAGAATCAAAATTCAATTAACATTCATATTTCAGTTCAATAAATTTGTTTCAATTTGGTTTTAATTACCAACGGCTAGTATGCACATTGGCTGTTTGCAAATTAAACAGAATGTCAAATGGCCAGAAGAGTAATTTGAATTTTGGATAATTTTAAGAAGCGAATGAAAAATACAAGCCTTGGCCATTCTCAGTCTCATTTTCCCGGCAGGGCCAGCAATGAAATCGCATTTAGCTCACGGCCATAACAATGTCGCCATTAAACTTGAAAGTGTTAATTAAAAATTAAAATTGATTGTCCAACGGGACGGGAGACCAAGGCAGATAGAAGTCATCTTTCGCCGGTTTCGATCCTGGTCCAACTTTCTCTAAGCGCATTCCGTATTCATGGCGACCATCAAAACTTGTTGTAAAGTAATTTAGCCAGCCAAGTGATTAACAACGGCCCAAAATGGAGAAAAGCCAAGGACGAACTTCCACACAGACTCAGCTCACTCCATTTGTAATCCGCCGACTAATTTGCTAAATGCAATGGCCAAAAATAACGGGCTGAAAAGTTGGCCAAACTACCGAAAATAGCTGCAAAGAAAAACTTTTCCGCTTTGGCCATTGTTGACAAATGATTTAGTGACAATCTATTAAACGCTGGCTGATTGATGATTGATGATGAGCCGACCATTCCGCGTGGTCGTCCGCCCACCGAAAAACCAAAAAAAAACCGGCTAAAAGGATTAAATTGCCAAAGGAACTGCTGCAGCACCTTGGATCATGAAATATGCAGGAGTCTCGCCAGGAATAACAAGAGAAAAGCCGTAATGAAACGGCTATATAGACACACAAAGGACTACGCTATGCGTTTATAACTGCCGCAAAAGAAATAAGGACGGAAATAGAGCGATTATGGCATGTCTTTCGGGACCTGCCCTACTTGGTTTGGGACTTCGAACCCAAAACAAAAACAAAGTCTACATAGAGAAAGTCTCACACTGAAAATGGGTATATATATACATGGATATATAGTATATATACATATTTATATAAACGAGGGGGTCAAGTGCGGGTCTTTCACTCGATTCGAGTCGAATAAAATTAACACGACATGAAACGCAGAGATATTGGAAAGATATTGACCGACTGTTGTAGGTAAATGTTGTATTTCTAACCCCCTAACACGCATTTGTAAATTAACCATGACGGAGCAATTACGATACACTGGACTTCAGTTTACCGGGATTTTATTATAGGTTTTTCATAGTAAACCTAATCAAGGTTTAAATAATTCAATTTATTCAGTTGTTTTTAGACCTTGAAAATCCCTGGCTAACGGAAATCGTTTATAAATAGCTGAATCTATTTTCTTTTACCAAGTTTTTCATTCTATTTTAGGGTTAAACTTCCCAGTCATTAAATAAATTGCAAACTTTCGATGATATTTTTAAAACCACGCCGGGACTAACAGTTCTAGGCTTTCGTGCTGCACTTTATAGAGTTATGGCGTTAAGTGGAGGTCTGATTGGATCGAATTAATGCCAGACAGCCGGCTAAAGGTCACAAGTGGAACCGGCGAGGTTTGATTGGTTCCATCGATTGCCACTTGCCCCCATGTTGTCCCCTCTAACTAACCCCCTATTTCGGATATATGGTATAGACCTATCTATATATATAAGTAAAACTCACCGATTTGTGGCACATCGTACTGCCGTTGACCGCGGGCCGTGCGCAGCATCAGCTGGCTGGCTATGCTGTGGGAAACAGGTGGCTGCGCTGAGAAGCCGCCACCTGGCGATCCCATGGATCCCGCTGATCCCGATCCGGATCGCTTGTGGCTTGGATCTTTTTTCTCCTGCTGCGACTGCTGCTCAACCTGCTGTTTGGGTAGTCCATCGCCGGTTGATTGTTTCCCGGTGGAAGCGGAAGCAGAGGAGGCACTGCCTCCTAGTTCATTATTGGGCTTTTCAGTATCCTTGGAGCCGGAACGACTGGATGGCTTTAGGTGCATGCTGGCCGTGGCCTCCGAGTTGGCAGATAACGATAGTTTTCCACTCCGTTGTGGCTTGAAGTGCTGGGCGAAGATCTGGCGCTGCAACTGTTTCTCTGCCTCGGGATTATGAGGCAATCCTTGGCCATTTCGTTTCCTTGCCCACTTTTGCTGTACCCTTATGTTGTAGTTTCCCGGGTTATGGGTTTTTACGGATCCCGAGTGCATCCCCTTGAAGGGGGCATCCCGCTGCTCCTGTTCCTGCTCGAAGAGCTGTTGCAAAGAGTCAGGTGCGGCCAGTTCCAGCTGTTCCAGCGTGCGGTATGGGTTCTCTGGGAGAGGTTCCTCCTCCAGACCATGATACTGGTAGGCATCAAGTTCCCGGAGCAACTCGTCCTCGCCCAAATGGGGCTCCTGTTCCTGCTCCAGTTCCGAGAAGTCATCAAAGTCGCCGAAGGAGTGCAGTGGTTCGTAAAGCGGTTCCGCCTGCTCCTCCCTTTCAGAGGGCTGAACCACCCTTCCGTAGTACTTTACGGGCCTATTCTCTAGATCCCTTAGCTGCTCGTAATCCTGCTCTAGGGTAATTGGAGTGGGTGGCTGCTTCTGGACATTGCCGAAGATGTAGCCTCGGGCAGCCTGCTGTAGCAGGGCAGGATAGTCACCCACATCCAACTCCTCACTGGGCTGCATCTGTATCCGACCGGCGATGAAGGGATGACCGCGGTGATTGCTGCCCGCCGGCGGTTGCTCCGCCGTCTGCTTGGCACGGGCCAGGAGCATCAGGCGTTCCCGCTCCAGCTGGGCCATATCAGCGATCTCCTTGTTCAGCCGCACGGTGGTGGCATCGTAGGCGGCCGCTGCCGCAGATCGATGGCCATGCGATGAGGAGCCACCGCCCGGCGGAGATCCTCCGGGATGTTGCTGATGCTGTTGCTGTTGCGAGGGAGCTGTCTGCCAGGCGGATGCTGATCCCGTTGAGGGTCCCAGTGCCTGACTCGGGACCTGTACCGCCTTGGCATCGCCTAAGGACTTATCACCGTTGCCATTGCCATTGCCGCTCAGGTGGAGGGCATAGAGGCCGCCCTGGATGAGCAGGACGCAGAAGAGCGTCTGGGCCAGCGAGCAGAACATTTTCCGTTTGTTGGTCTGGCGCAGCTTCTCGATTAGACGGCTTATCTTGGCGGTTCGGTTTGGGTTTACCAGGGGGGAATATGAAATTCTGTTGGGGATGGGTGATAGAGTTTTGTTTTTGTTTTTTGTTTGGGGCTAATGGTGAGGGAAAGTCCCGATTAGAAGACCTTTCTACGGATTGTTTCTCTCGGGGATTTCGATGCTTTTCACACAGCTTTTGTGGGTCTTCAGGCCCCACACCGCTGCTGACCAACACTGTGCCGGCCTAAGCCTGGCATTGCACAACACTGGCCTGTACCGGAGTTCTCCGCGAGTTTCCTGACTTTTCCGGTCCGGTTTTTGTTTCTCTGGCTGCCTTTCAACGGCCGTTTCCTGTCCTTGTTTTATATTTTTTTTTTACTCGCTTCTCGCCTTTCGTCGCCCTTTGTTGCTGTGCTGCCAAGTTTGTTTTGCGTTAAGCTGTGAAGTTCTGCAGCCTTAGACAAAATCAATAATCAATTGTCTACTCTGGCCGGGGAGTTTGGGTATCGGGTAGGTGATGTCGGTAAGTCGGAGTTGGTATAGGTATAGGTATCGGTATATAGGTATGTATGTGGCCGCTTGAACCTGGTTGTTGGCCTCTGGCGACCCGCCTTTCGCTTTAGTTAGGGGTAGCTACTAACAACTAGTTGCTATCTTCCGTCGGCTTTCCGTTTGGAATTCCAGATCTTGAATTGGTTTTGATTGGATTTTTATTTGGTTTTTTCTCAGGCCCTTAGATTTGTTTCACTGGCCAGAAGTCATACGTTTTTATAATTTTAGTAGGCTTATCAGTTAGTTTTTCCGCGGCACTTTGGTTTCCCTCTTACGTTTTTTTTTTGAGCTGCTCACTTTTTTGATACTTTTTTCTTACTTTTTTTAAAATGCAAAGAAAATTTATATTGTATAATTTGTATATTTTTATAAGTAGTTGTAACAATATTGTGTTTTGTTTTTCTTTTTTTTTTTATTAATATTTGTTTAAGGAACTTTTAGCACTTTTTCGTGTTTAGCGCTCTCAGCTTGCGGCACTTAGTTTTCGTTTTTGGTTTTTCATATAATATATTAATTAAAATTCACAGTGTTAGCCATTCAATTGAGGGAGAACAATTAACTGGAACTGATTTCTTGCTTTTTCTTTGAGGGGGGAGGAAACTGTGATTGGATAACTTTTGCACACGAGTCACTGCACTTGAATAGGGAATATATCTTGGGATATTTTTTCGAAAATATTGTTTTTTGGTTTCTTGGGTATAATTTTTGTATTTAGCTTTTTGTTTTTAAATATTTTTGTTTGGTGAAAACTTTCCCTTTGTTGTGGGTAAGTGTGAGTGGTGTTATTTTTTTGTGGACTAGCTTTGCTTCTAGTGTGTTACTTTTTTTTGGATTTTCGGCTGCCTCCAAGAGTGTTCCGCACGTTTGAACCGACGAGCAAGGACTCGTCGTGTCGTCTCAGCAGGATTTGCCTGTTTGTCTGCCTTTTGCTTGGACGCCTGACGCGTGTCCCTCTGCCTCTGCTGTCGTCAGCGTCGCGTTCGCTGCTACAGTCGACGTCGCTGCTTCTCCTCAAGGCGTTTCGTATTTCCACTTTATATGGGTAGTCGTTGCCGTTGTCGTACTCGTACACCCACTCCCTTCACGCCCCGCCTCGAATTTCACTCCTCGGACAACTGGCTGCTGGGTCCTCTCTGCTCTCGGTCGCTCGCTCTCTCTCTCTCTCTCTGTTGCTGGCTCCTAGCTCCTTGCTCCTTGCTCCTTGCTCCTTTCTCCTGCCTCCTTTCTCCGCTTTCGCCCGCTTTCTCCTGCTCCTGCTTCAGCTTCTTCCTCGTCTTCTTCTTCTGCTCTGGGCTTCAGCTCCAGCTTGTGCTCTCGGTCAGCGGGAAAAACTCGAGCTCGAAACGACTGTTCGCTCTATACTGAGCGCTACGCCCGCTCAACCACTTGTTTTCAACCAGCCTCATGTGTAGAGTTTTTCCCGAAGTCTAACGGGAAAAGAGAAAGAGAGAGCGATTGAGAGAGTTCCTGCTCCTGCGCACTATGTACCGCTACCGGCATCATCGACTCCCAATTTCCCATTTCCCAGATGCCATATGATTTGCGGTCGCCACTTTGCGTGGGTTGTACTTGTACTAACCTTACTCGGCATCTGAATCCTTCGTTTTGGCGGGGCATTTCCCCAGTTCGATTCGATTTTGGTAATCCCGTTTAGCTGTCATCAGCTGTGGCTCCACTAATCCCAATTACCCACCGTTTCAATCACCGAATGCACTTGCCACTGGTTTAACCCGGAATTGCTGTGTTTTCCTGTTTTAACAATTATTTTGTGGGAAAATAAAATGAGACTGCTGCTTGGGTTAGCCCAGAGATAAGAACTTTGATTTCTTTTGGTGGGATTTCACTGAAGTCATTAAGTCAATAAGAACTTAACCTCTTCTGTCTTTTTGTAAGTATAGCAAAGGTATTTTAACATCCCTATTTCATATTTTTCTTTTCTTACATAAGATCTGTGAATTATATTTTATTATTTTTTTGGTTATTATATTGGTATGTATAAGGGTCTTTCCTTAATAACAACATCCTTGTTTTATACAGCATAAACTATATTGTTCGGAAATATTTACAGTACAGTTTACAGTATTTCTAGATTTAAGTAATCAGTGTTAAGTTAAGTTAATATCCATAAAAACCCCTTTATTATAACACCAAACTGATCGCTTATCCCATCGAACATTCGAGTGACTTTCCCCTACATTTCGAATTTCGAAAAACGATGACGCCCACGCATTAGCGACAAATACCTAAAACCAAAACACAGCTCCCGCAGCAGCACCGAAATTATAATGTGTATAAAAATGAGCACATAGATTGCAAGTCATTAAAGCCGCCGAACCCAATCCGAATCAGAATCGGGAAAAGAATAGAGGAGAAGTGCGGTTGAGGGTAAGGGCACCGAAAGGTTCTGCCGATTCGGGTGAAAGCCAACATGAATGAAGGAGAATGTCCTGTATAGAAGAGAGTCGTCATCGTTGCTTGCAGCCTGCTTTTCGTTTTTCGATTTGTGGCGTTGTTTCTGCTGTTGCACAAACGCCCCATGCAGGATTCAACAGCTGGGGTAGGCGGAGGGGGCGTGGCTGTGCGGACCGAGGACGAAGACGAGTCCTGTTTGTCGTCACAATGTCTGTGGCTTTTACGTTTTACGAGCTAGCTATAATATATTCGCAGTGCTAACGCAATGATTTCCGAGCCGAGGTGAAGTTGAATCGCGAGCTCGGGCCATGTGAATGGACTTGGACCACGGTGTGGAGAGTTTTGAATGGACGAGAAGGTGAATAAGTGTTTAGTATAATTGAAAAAGTATCCTGGTAGTGAGTAAGAACAAGGAAGAATTGTTGTATGAACTTGCAAGTCATTCATGAAGTGGTAACTTCATTTAAAGGTAAAGCTAAGTTCAGAACCTTAAAAGCGTGTTTCGTAAGTAAGAAAACTAAATATTTTTAGGTTCCATTACTAATATCCGTTTGTAAAAATATTTTTAATTTTAATAAAATATTTAAATTTTTTATCTACCAGTACTATATCAAACATTTAATTTATTTGTGTAATCCGATAAATTTATGCATCAGAATTGGAAATTATTACAAAATTTCTTAATTTTAACAAACCGAATACCAAACGCTTAGAAACTCCAAGCCAAGACCCAGCGAGAGCAGGTCTCCACACGAAAAGCCGGCTTGGACTCTCAATTTGTTGCACGGCCCGAAAGTCTCCTCGTTCGTTTTGAAAAACTCTACAGGCGACAGCAAACAGCTGAGCCTGCCTAGCCAGGATGTTTCCCCTTTCCCCGTTAGCCGCAGCATGGTCCTACCACAAGTCAAATGCACTTGCTGGGCCCAGGAGCATGGTGAAGGATTCCTGGGGGGACAACAACAGATGATTCTGGCGTGCCAAATGCGCAGGCGCAGACTCAAGAGACGACTACGTCAACAACAAAAATCGAAGCCACGGATTTTCATTCAGGAGATAGCACCCCACTCCGCTTCCCGTCTACCATTCACCGAAAGTTGGGGAAACCAGAGCGCGAGCCCTCGAGCAGCGATATGGAAATGGGAAAAAATGGGGAATGAATGGCCGGAGCAGGAGATGGGGCATATGGGGAAAATCAGCGCCTGGCTGGCGTCGTTTTTCAACGATGTCGCCGTACGACGAGGAGCCAAGGAATCGTGGTACCATCGTGGAGGGGACCAGGACTGCGACGATGGGTGCGCCGCACGACGATGACGCCTACGCAGCTTTGTGACGTAAGCAGGCTCGCAGGACCTACGAATAAGAAGCCGAAGCTCGAAGCGAGTGCAGGCTGGCCCCATTGTCTTGGCCCATGGCGATTCATTGGCGATTCCACAGTTGGGCTCGTCACATGCCCACCTCAGCGTTGTCTCTCTCTCATTTTTGATCCTCTTGGTCCTTTGCACTTTTGCACTTTGAACTTGGCAAATTGAAAGGGTTCCTATCATGTGTGTGGGCCTGGCTTAAATGACAAATCAGAATTATGCAAATATTGTCAAAGGTTATATTGGAAAAATGGCTTGTGAAGTAATTTTTATTCATGGGTTAAATGACATAAGGCGTACTTATGGATTTTAGTTTAGAAAGTCGGAACAAAATTATTATTAGCTATATTTTTTTTTAACTATTTTAATTCTTTTTTGTTTGTTAATTTGCTGAAAATATGCAAACAAGTTGTTTAGAACATTTTAATTGCTTTTTTGAACATTATTCAGCAAATTATTAGTAAATTTATGGAATTTTAATTAATACAAATTGACCTTAAATGTTGTTGGTCTATGCATGATTATTAATTACTCGAAAATAAAATAATCAGCTAACCAATTACTAATACTTCTTTTTCATTTTAGAAATAGGTTATTATCTTTATTTATTTGGTAACCTTTACCTTCACATTTATTTATAACCAATATAGGTGTTTATTAAAATATTTTGATAGCCAATAACCCCATGTCATTCACACCATCCTCCTTCCAACAACTCCTGTTGTGATTTATGGTGTGCCTTTAATTGCCCGCAGAGAGCAAAGTTCAATTACAACTCCCATAAGTATGCTGCACTTTGGTGGGGAACAGGACCCTAATCGGTTGACTGATGGGCGATGACGGAGATCGACTCGAGTGGCCGCCTGTTTACGCTCAAGTTGCCACTTGCGGATGACAACTCTGGCTTCCGACCTCCAATCTTGTCCCCTGCCGTTAACCCACCTCCTACCGCCCATCGGCTAGATTCCTGGCTGTGTTGTTGACATTGAATTCCGTGGGATATGGCCAAAATGCTATAAATAGACAACCAGCAGAGTTGAGTTGAGCTGAGTTTCCTTCGGCGCTCGGCGCTTTTCTCTTTTTTTTTTGCGCCGCCTGTCTTTCAGACTTCGTCCACAGCCAAACAGGAAATTGCATGGATTCTACGAGGCGCTGCCAAGACGCCATCAAAGCCGTTGATTAAAAATTGAACAGCAAGAGCAACGACGACGCAATAGGAGCAGATAAATAAATATATATAGAGAGAGAGAGGGAGAGTGGTGAGTGGTCTCCTGGCCTGAGGAAAATCTCGTTGCCAACGAATGGCCGCACAAACAAAATCAGACTTCAAGGGTCACTTCCGCTTCAAATGGCAAATCGGGTTTATGCCAGCCTGCCTCCCACTGACACTGCCATATTCACTGCCACTGCCATAACTCCCTCAATCCTGATTCTCGAATAAAACATGTCTCCATCGCATTCCCGGCTTCGAAGAATTTTCCTAAATTAGTTTCCGGGCAAAAATTCTTGTCGCTCGGCGATTTTTCAAGCCTCTTGTTTTCAACCATTCAATTGGAAACATTGACATTTGTGTGTCTTCAGAAAAAGCCCTTCAGATGCTATCTGTTAAGTAAGGACTCGCGAAAATAGATTGAAATTAATCTCAAAGAGCCAAAAGAATGATTTCTAAATTCTATCTATCCATATCAAAGGCTGAAAGTTCCTAGAAATCAGAATGCTTCAGAAATGCTTCGGTACTTTGATTATGATGTTCCACTGCTGGACGACTTAACTTGTAAGAAAAAATGCAAACTTAAATGTATTTAATGTGTCATATTCATATAGCTAATGTCTTGCCTTGTTTATAGTAAAATATAGCTTAAAATATAACGAAAGTCTGCATAAATTTATATTAAATATTAAGATAGCCTACAATGATTCTAATTTCTAATAGTAATACATTTAACACATCCATTAAGAGTTATTTATTTTAATTTTATTATTAATATAATACCGAAATATTTATATACCATTGCCTTTTCAAAGATCTCCCAAATATAAGCAATTTTTCTCTGTGTGGTATACTGCTGAGATTATGCGTAAAGCTTTTCTATCGCCCACCAAACGCGCATCTTTAATAGGACTCTCAACTGTCGTTGCCATCAGTGTCATCAGTTTTTTATGTGGTATGGTGCACCCGAAAAGTTTTTTCCGTATTGTCTATGTGAGAATGTCTAAAAATAAATGCTTACCAAATTTTAATGCCACTTTCAATGTCAACTGTTACGCATTTGAGCTAGCATTTTGTGGCATGAATTTGGGGTCTAAATGCAGGCGTTTAACCCGACTACCCAGACTCGTTTTTCGGGGCAGTGCAAGGCGGTGCTTTGAGTTGTTTTGTCATTTACGATTTGTGGAAAGTTAGGGTTAAGTACTATATCGCTTACCAAGTGCCTGACAATGAGTCAGCTGTGACGACAAGTGGTTGACATTTGAGACAGGGGATACTGGCCTTTTGATTGCAGGTCGTGGACAATGCCCATAATTATGCGAATCAAAGCGTTATTGAGACCATTTAAATGATAAGTGG